TAGACAGACCAATTTTATAAATAGCGACGTAATCAGCCAAATGTTTTACACTTCAACTTACCCACAAGAGTCAAGACAACCAATCCTAATCCAAGCTTTAAGTTCTAACAACAACAATAAGGAGTCCGGACAACCAAACCATGATGGTTATGATTAGTAAATTACTTAATTTACTCTCTCTCTCTCTCTCTGTGTTCATCAAATTTGAGTGAAATTTGATTAAAAGCTTGATCTGATATGAATACTCCAATCCTTACTCTCTTCGCATCTTCAAATCTTTTCAAAAAAATTCCAAACTTATCCTAAAAACTATCTTTAATCCATACCATTTTTTATGAAAGAAAACCATCTCCTATCCATACTCTATTTTAAAATTTTATCAAAAAAGATTAAAAGTATTATTATTAGAGATTTGGTGAAATTTTTTGTTCATCCTTGATTGTGAAAATTTTGGATCTATTATGTTTTTCCTGTGTATAATAGCCAAATAATTTTGAGACCAACTTTATGTGTAAGAACCAAATTTCTGCTTAATAGTTCAAATAATTGACAGTAATTCTTTGATGAAAAAATAATTTCTGCTTAATTTTTTTTGATTAAAAAAATTGACAATAATTCTGATTAAAAATTGACAGAAATTTGGTGATGAGAGACATTTCCTCAATGTTTAATAGTTCTGAGAGAAATTTGGTTCATAATAATTTTGCTCAATGTTTAATCAAAATTGACAAAAATTTGGTTCACATAATGTTTTTTTTAATTCTTTGATGAAATTTAGTTCAAATAATTTATGCTTAATAGTTCAAATAATTGACAATAATTGACAGACCAACTATTATACATTGTTGGCAGTAAACACAATGTGTATAACCTTTTTTTTTTTTTTTGAACAGCAAACCAATTTCTGCTATTAAAAAAATTGACAATAATTCTGATTAAAAATTGACAGAAATTTGGTGATGAGAGACACATTTCCTCAATGTTTAATAGTTCTGAGAGAAATTTGGTTCACGATAATTCTGCTCAATGTTTAATCAAAATTGACAAAAATTTGGTTCACTAAATGTTTTTTTTTTTTTAATTCTTTGATGAAATTTAGTCCAAATAATTTCTGCTTAATAGTTCAAATAATTGACAATAATTGATAGACCAACTATTATACACAGTTGACAGTAAACACAATGTGTATAACTTTTTTTTTTTTTTTTAAGTCAACCAATTTCTGTTTAATGTTTTATTTTTTTCAACAGCATGCATGACTCCAAATCTTTTTATTTCATAAACAGTTGACAGTAAACACATTGAGCAAAATTTTTGTCTCTCATCACTAATTTAAACAGTTGACAGTAAACACATTGAGCAGAATTTTTTCTGATTTTGGTGGTAAAAAACAGAGCAAACTGATTTTGGTGATAAAAAACAGAGTCAAGTGATTTTGGTGATAAAAAACATAGCCTTTGCAACTACTCTTTAATGACAAAAGAAAAAAATAAGAACCAAAGTAATAAACTAACCGAGCAGCCGAGCAGAATGTCGAGCAGCCGAAGTGAATAGTCGGAGTGAACAAAAAAATTACTGTAATGAATAACCGAGCAGCCAAAGTGATGTCGCAGCCGGAGTGAACAACGGTGAGAGTGGTCAAAGTGATCCACATAAGCTTTGATGAAGGCAAAAGTTGAGAGAGGAAAAAAAAAATTCAAGAAGAAGAACAATTACTCGAATCAATGAGAGAATACTAAAGTCATGTTTTCAATTACCCGAATCAATTCTCTTGCACCTAGCAATTAAAGTCATGTTTTCAACACTAAATAATAATACTGAATTGGTTAAAGTCATGTTTTCAATAACTCTATTGAACCCAACAGTTAAAAATACTTTTCCATATATCTATATCATTCAATAACTATAGATTGGTCTGTGAACCCAGCAATTCAATAACTAAATATATCTATTGAACCCATATATCTATATCATTCAATATCTCTATTTGTCTGATTTGCAGAATTGAATATCTATATCATTCAATATCTATACTTTTCCATATATCTATATCATTCAATATCTCTATTGAACCCAGCAATTCAATAACTAAATATATATATCATTTGTCTGATTTGTAGAATTTCTTTTCCATATATCTATATCATTCAAATCTGTTGTACGGTGTATCTTTTCCATAATAACTCAATATATATATCATTCAAATCTAGCATTAATCCAAATCTGCACACACCCAGAAGACACCATAATAAAATGCATATCACCGGTGTAATCCAAATCTGCACACACCCAATACAAAATCCAAACCGTATCACCCATATAACTCAAACCATATCACCCGTATATATTAGTTGGCTCAATATCACCCGTATAACTCAATAAGATAATTTGCACACACAACATACATCACACCAACAATAAATCCAAACCATATGATAATTTGCACGGTGTATCTTTTCCATAATAACTCAACAATAAGATAACTCAAACCATATCATCCGTATAATTTGCTCATTCAAAATCCAAACCCAATACAATAGGATAATTTGCACACACAACATACATCACACCAACAATAAATCTGTAGGAGTTTTCCAATGTGGGTAAACCCAAAAACACACCCAAAAGATTGAAACAGAGCAAGGAATTCAGCAATGGGGAGATAGACGGTAGACAAAGAGGGAGATAGAGAGGGAAGGTAGATACTGAGGGGAGAGTCAGTGCAGAGTAGGAATGGGGAGATAGATGGTAGACAAAGAGGGAGATAGAAAAGGAAAAGTAGATAGAGGGTATGGGAAGACAAATGGTAGACAGAGGGTATAGGGAGACAGAGGGTAGATACTAAGGGAGACACAGGCAAATCAAATGAAATGTGTTGGGTGGGAACCACCTATTGATCTAAACCATTGATAGCCCTGTTTGGCACAGCTTTTTTTTAGCTTTCAGCTTAATTTAAGCTATTTTGATATGTTTGGTTTAGCTTAAGCTTATAGCTTTTTGTAAGTCAAAAATCAGCTTATTCTTTGAGTGGAGTAAGAGAAGCTTAATTTATAAGTCAGAAATCAGCTTATGTTCATAGTTATAAGCTATAAGCTGTTAAGGTATAAGCTATAAGCACTTTCCCACAGCTCTACCAAACAGGGCTGATATACACTTGGGATTCATCTGAGCCATCCAAATGAAATGTGTCTCTCATACATTTTAGACATTTTCAAAAACCTTTGTGACTTATTATATAGATATATATATATATATATATTCTTTTTCACTGATTGAAATATATTAGATAAATTACATCAGTAGTCCATATGATTTAAATAAAATGTCACTTTAGTCCCTATAATTTTAATTTAAATAATTTGAATCCTAAACGTTCAATTTTGTTCTTGAAAGACAGAAAACCAGAGATCTTGCAAGCTGCAGCCATGGATGGTTTTTTCTACTACTACGTGTAAAAAATTCATTAATGGACTTGATGGCCCACTAGAGTCTCGAATTATAATTTATACTTATAGAATTGGATTGGAGAAATATTTTAGGCTTGATTTTAATATGAGTCGGGGATTGGGAAGAGTGTTTCAGAACCTAACCTGTCTTGCGTCGCTCCTCCCAACCCACAAACTATATCATACAATATATTTTTATAGATTTATATGTATGCTTTGCATTGTTTAATTTTTGTTTTCACCGAATCAAGAAAAAAAGAAAAACACTTTATTTTTTATAAGAATATATTATATATTATTAGTGTTAGTAATGGGCGCCCATGTGGCATGACCATTAAATTTGAATTTGAATCCTTATCTAAATAGGTTTTGAATTTGAAATCAAACCTATTTAGGATAACCACTCAAGATACAGATATTATCAGTTTTAACTGATATGGATAGATATTATAATATATTATATATCTAATATATGGTTATGGGTATCCAAGTGAGAAACAACGTATAGTTTGTTTCTACCCATATACTGACTCTCCCCCAAAAACACAACGATCAAGTCTTTGACACTGTGGTTTGTGTGGGTGATATTCAATCTGTGATACCACTCCACTGCTGGGTTGGTTCATCAAGAAGTTTCCTGGAAGCACGTAATTTATCCAAGAAGGTTCTATCATCAAGAAGGTATGATCTGATTATTTTATCCGCTGCATATTCTGTGTTTTTAGTTTACAATTAGTTTTGTAAAAGAATTGATTGTAAATTTAAATTACAGGCCTTGAGTATTTTAAATGAACACCAAAATGATTAAATTAATTATAATTTTTTAATTAAAAATATAAAAAAAGTATTTATATCAAATAATATCCAAGTCATGTGAATGGTTTTGAAATTTTTTAAGCACCATACTGAGATTGGTCGAACTTAAAAAATGATTTCTGGTGCCACGATATACTGTTATGAGTATAACCTGAACCCAACTCAGCTCAATCCAATTCTTGATATGCAAAATGGATGTGCAGATAAGTTACTTCACATATTTGTCAGAGAACATTACTCTATAATATCGACAAACATCAGCCAAAACCAACGTTGCACTTATGTCAGAACCGAAACTCAAACCAATTCAACAGTGGCTCTACGTGGGAAGTGGATTTTTGACTTGTTTTTTAGGCTAATATTCACAAAAAGCTAAAATAGGTCAAAGTAGTTAATAAGATAAAATGTCACATCAAATTTATAATTATTTTATTTTTTCTCTCACAAGTATCACATCTAATTATAAAAAATATTAACTATATTCCCAAACATAAATTTTTAAAATAATGACACGTGAGTTATAATTTGAATGAAAAATATGAAAGTAGGCTTTAATCTACAAATAATATAAGATAATGTAATTATTTGGTATCATCCTCGCATTACTCTAATGTTGGCCAAACAAACATGGATAAAAGTGAATTTTTTCCCCAAAAAGCCAAAAAAAAAAAATGCTACGCAAGCAAACTGTCTTTGGCATGGAAGTGAAGTCTTCGTTATATTCCTTCCTCAAAAATTCCTTTCCTCCTCCCTCCCTTTCTTCGTCTTCTTCTTCTTCTTCTCTCCAACTTCTCCCATTGACATCTCTCTCTCTCTCTCTCTCTCTCTCTATATATATATATATAGATAGATACAGCTAATCTTCTTCACATCCTCCCAAATGGAAGCCTCAACATCATCATGTTCCTCACCCCTCTCACTCGACTTCCTCCCTCCTCCATTCTCTCCACACCTCCACCGCCGCATCTCCGCCGCATCCATCCACTTCCGCCGCCATAAACCCCTCTCCCTCTCCCTCTACCCAAATCCCATTTCTTGCACTATCAATTCTTCTTCTTACTTGGGCATTTCAGTCTCCCCCAAAACCCGCTTCAATTCCCTCTCTCCATCATCATCAACAAGAACTCGATCTTCCCCAATCATTGCCTCCGCTTTCGAGCGATTCACAGAGAGAGCAATTAAGGCCGTTGTGTTCTCCCAAAGAGAAGCCAGAGCTCTCGGCAAGGACATGGTGTTTACGCACCATCTTCTGCTAGGGTTAATCGCTGAAAGCCGCCGTCCTGATGGGTTTCTTGGCTCTGGCATCACCATTGACATTGCTCGCGATTGTGTTCGGAGTATTTGGCATAATAATCAAAGTAATGATCAGAATTCAGTTGATTCTGAGGTTTCCTCTGCTGCTGATGTGCCGTTTTCGATTAGCACAAAGCAGGTTTTTGAAGCTGCGATTGAGTATTCTATGAGTATGGGTTTCAATTTCATTGCGCCTGAGCACATTGCCATTGGGCTTTTTGCTGTGGATGATGGCAGTGCAGGTCGTGTCCTCAAGAGGTACATTTGTGCATTTTCTTTCCCCAAGTATATATACATAAACATGTATATTTGTTTGTGAATCTGCAAATGAATGATTTATTCACATTTCACAAGTTTGGATTGCAAGGTCGGACTTGTTTAGTATTGAATTGGGACCAAGACAAGACAAAAAAAAAAAAAAAAAAACACTTTTCTATCGAAGAGGCCCGTGCTTTCTTTGTTGAAATAATGACAAATAGTTTGATTCGAGATTTGCTAAGAATCGACTTAGTGAAATCCTCTATTTTGTATACTTGAAAAAGAAATGATCCATTGAGTTCAGGATTGATCTCTGATAATGGATCAGATCATACCAATATCAATCCGTTTTCTTCCACTTTTTCCTATTCCAAGGCAAAGATTCAACAATCCCTTAACCAAAATCAAGGAACTAATTCATAGTTGTTGAATAGAAATAAGGAATGCCAATCTTTGATAATTTTGTCATCATCCAATTGTTCTCGAATCTTGAGCATCTAAAATTATGCAAATGAATTATTTGTTCACAGTCACAAGTCTCTTGGTACTTTTCCAACATTTAGAGGATAGCATAAATGGTTGGAAAACTATTCTTTGTGTATATAGATATGTAAGCATATGAAGTATTTGTCCTCCTTGCACAGAAAGTCAACCCTGGTATTTAGGCCTGTGACCCACAAAACATAAAATTAACAACAAAAAGGAGAGCTAATGGGAACATTGTAATCGGAAATGTTAGATTATTGTGAAGGTAAATTGCTTTTAAGAATCATCAGTATGGTGAATTTGGGCTTCTGATGTCTTTTTGGTTTGGATGATGAGGAGATTGTTGATCACTAGGATCCATAAAGGACTTGAGTGAGCATTGAGTAATGGACTCAACATTTTTGCAAAGAAATTTATTGTTGTTCAGGGGGAATTATTTCATTCAGAAGGAGATTGGTTGGACTTTATAGCTGCTCTGTAAGAAATCTTACAGTCCAGGAAGATTATATTGATAGTTGGGAAAGATGAACTGAAAAAGTAAAATTAATACTTGCTTGAAAGAGATTTGATGATTAATATGTAATAAGAAGATAAAGCAGAAGTTCAGGATTAATGCAGAATTCTTACACGCAGAATTTCAATGATAGATAATTTTTAACTTAATTTCCATCACCTTTTTTTTTTTTATCAATGGTGACTGTTAAGAATAAATATGTTCATGACAAATGCTTAGCATAGTTACCTTTCTGCTTTATAATTTGTTGCATCATAGATGATCCAGAAGCAATGCATCAGGTCTAGGATAATATGTGTTATTGTTGATTTTCTATTTATGGGTCTAAACTAATAATATTTCAGATTAGGGGCAAATATAAATCACTTGGCAGCTGTTGCAGTCTCAAGACTTCAAGGAGAGCTTGCCAAAGATGGTAGAGAACCGCCCGCACGACCAAAACGGGCACATGATAAATTATTGCCTGCAAAAGGAACTGTTGTTAGATACTCTGAGAAAACAAGAGGTTAAAGTTCAAAATTTCTCATCTTTCTGTCTTTGGTTTCTTTATTGATTTTCTAAGTATAAGAAAGAATAGATGGGGAATGCTTTGTAGATATTTTTTTATGTCAGATAAAAGTGCTTTGGCCCAATTCTGTACGGATCTTACTGCTCGTGCTAGTGACGGGCTCATTGATCCTGTAATTGGCCGAGACAATGAAGTTCAGAGAATCATTCAAATACTTTGCCGGAGGACAAAAAGCAATCCTATTCTTCTTGGGGAAGCTGGAGTTGGGAAAACAGCCATTGCTGAAGGGCTGGCAATTATTGTTTCACAGGGAAATGTTCCTGTTTTCTTGTTGGTGGGTTTTCTCCTCCTTAATATATGATTGATGTTCTTTTAGGTAATATAACTTCTTGGGTTTAGCATTTACTTCTTCTCGTAAGACCATTCTGTATACCATTTGATTAGCTTTATTGTTTTATGCACAGAAAAAGCGCATCATGTCCTTAGATATAGGTCTATTAATCGCAGGCGCAAAGGAGAGGGGAGAGTTAGAGAGACGTGTTACTACATTAATTAAGGATGTGAAGAAGTCAGGTGAACACATTTTTTAATGACAAGGATCAGAAAATTTTCATCATGAGATGGCTGAGCATATGATGGCATTGCAGGCAATGTCATTCTTTTTATCGATGAAGTCCATACACTAATTGGTTCGGGCACAGTTGGACAAGGAAACAAGGGGTCAGGTCTTGACATTGCAAATCTACTGAAGCCATCTCTTGGGAGAGGTGAATTACAGGTAATGATTTATCATATAATCATGATACACTCTTATGTGATTGCTTATGACATAAATCAATGCATAAAAAATGGATAAATTATTGACCTATAGCCGAAGAGGTGTACCCATCTAGTCTCAACCTCGATGTCAAGGGCTCAAGTGCCCTTGCCCTGCCAAACTAAAATTAGATAAACGGTACGGATAAGTTGAATTCTATATTTATTACTTGGGACATGAAAAGTTTCACTTATTGCTTGTAATAGCAGTATATCGTGGAAACTAGTAGTCTAACACTTAGTTGGCAAACCACGTTCTGGTCCTTGCTGGAAACATGGTGTGTTCTCGCCTATGAGATTAGGATCATAAAGCTAACATAACCCACAACAGATGACACAACTGCAATCTGTGAAAAGCTGACATAACCCACAACAGATGTCTCCTTCTTCATAGTTACCCTTTCTGAGCTGATCTCCTTGTGACTAATAATTATTACTAATGCTCCAAATTTACATGGTGAAAACCTCAGGCACTTTTTTTCTTTTTTTTTTCTCTTTTCCTCTTGGGATTGAAGTTTTCCTGCCCTTGGTTTTCCAAATCAACTGTCAAATATTATGACTTTGGACAATGGACTGTTATGCACTTTCCATTTTTCACCGTCTTTAAAAAGTCCTTAATCTTTCCCCAAATTCTCAGTCAAACCTTTATCACCAATTTCCTTTTCCTGATCTCTCATTTCCCTTTTTGATTTCTCTACCTTAGTTTTTTTCCATATTTTAAAATTTCCTTTTAAATTCTCTACATCAATTAGTTTTGTTAAGTTTAACATTTATCATTGACAAAAGTAGTGGTTTGTACTTTTAATAGCTGGTGCATTTTGTCACTGGAATGATGTGTGTCATTGCGTAAGTTATGCCATTGGCATCTGCTTTATTCTTCTACTTGATCTGCTTCTTTTCTTATGCACATGATGTTAGAGTGACTTTTTTGCATTTTTGTGAAAATAAGGTCCATTTGTTTACCCAAGTTGTTTTCATGTGTGGTAGGTTGTGTTCTAATATGTAAAATGAACTACAATTTCGCTCTTTGTAGTGTATTGCATCTACAACTATGGATGAATACAGGACACATTTTGAAAAGGATAAAGCATTAGCACGAAGATTCCAGCCTGTGATGATTAATGAACCAAGTCAGGTACCATAATTTTAAATTTTCTTCTCGTTGTATCTATGTTTTGTTTGTTGTAACTTGTATTACCAATTATTATACTGTCATTGTGTAAAATTCTAGGAGGACGCAATTAGGATACTGTTGGGTTTGCGTGAAAAATATGAGGCCCATCACAAATGTAAATACACATTAGAGGCCTTGAATGCTGCTGTGCACCTTTCAGCAAGGTATATTCCTGACCGACATCTTCCTGACAAGGCCATTGATCTCATTGACGAGGCGGGAAGTAAAGCTCGTATGGAATCCTTCAAAAGGAGAAAGGAACATCAAGCTCGTATACTTTCAAAGTCACCAGATGATTATTGGCAAGAGATTAGATCTGTTCAGGCCATGCATGAAGTGGTAATGGCATTGCTTCTGTAGGCAGTTAACTACACTTCATATAGGCTCAAGGAGGGGCACTTGCCCCTTCTCTACTTTTAAAAAATTACTTTTTATCTTAAGGTTTTAAAAATATTTTTCAATTTTTTTGCTCAAAAGTTATATATATGTTCCCTAAATTATTATTTTTCATTCTTCTTCTAATAAACTCGAAACACCATTGACTAGAGTAGCTTCACAAATGAATCTAAGAAAGCATTTCCTTTCATTTTCATATTTATTGGCATTATTTATTTTCACTTCTTATTACTTGAGAGTTCTGTAGATTTGAAAATCGTGATGGTTTTATTATAGTGATATCGATATGTATGATATTAGAATAGTTTTGAAATATTGGTAATTGAATTTTTTACCAAAGCAAACTAAACTATGCCTTGTGTCCCAAATCGAACTAAATAATTTGCCTTATTGTTGTCCCTAATCAGCCAAATTCCTGGCTCCACCACTGCATACATGCCGATAGCATCAACCATTTCAGATTTTCTAATGGTGTCCACTCCATGCTTTCACGTGAGCAGGTCCTTGCAAGTAAACTGAATAAAGATGATGGTGCTTCTAACATTGAAGATGATCGAAAACTTCCCAATACCTCTTTGCCTGTTAATGATGATGAGTATGCTTAACATCTTGGAATTTTGATTGAAGGATAGACACTTTAAACTTGAGTCGTCTGTCATAGATTTTGAACAGAAATTATTTTTTTTCTTTTCAGACCTATGGTGGTTGGACCTGATGAGATAGCAGTAGTTGCTTCACTTTGGTCTGGGATTCCAGTTCAGCAGTTAACCGCTGATGAAAGAATGCATCTGGTGGGTCTTGATGAGCAGCTTAAGAAACGGGTTGTTGGTCAAGATGAAGCAGTTGCTGCAATTTGTCGAGCTGTTAAGAGATCCCGGATTGGCCTGAAGGACCCTAAGAGGCCAATTGCTGCAATGCTATTCTGTGGCCCCAGTGGGGTTGGCAAAACCGAATTGACAAAAGCTTTGGCAGCTTGCTATTTTGGTTCAGTAAGACTTTATGCATATACTGTTCTCTTTTCATTTTAATCCATATGAAAATGGTCTGAACGCCCATCAAAAGCAAGGATAAAAAACTTGAACTTTAGTAATTTCTAATTGATACCATATTGATTCACATCTCATCAGTATATTTCACTAAATCACCTAACATGCTATGCCAATTAGTTTTGTATGAAATTTTATTGTTCTGTTCGTGTTTCTACGGCAGGAGGCTGCCATGGTAAGATTGGACATGACTGAATATATGGAGCGGCATACTGTCAGCAAGCTAATAGGCTCACCCCCTGGTTACGTTGGCTATGGAGAAGGAGGCACTCTTACAGAATCTATCAGAAGGCAACCTTTCACAGTGGTATTGCTTGATGAAATAGAAAAAGCCCATCCAGATATATTTAATATTCTCCTCCAAATATTTGAAGATGGTCACCTCACAGATTCCAAGGTTTGTTTTTGTTGCATATTGTGCATATTTGCTGAAAATAGTTTCTCTATGCATATTTGATTTATTAGTTAATCATGCCCAATGTCCCTGATTTGCTGAGATGGTTTGACAGGGTCGAAGAGTATCATTTAAGAATGTATTGGTGGTGATGACTTCTAATGTGGGTTCCACTGCCATTGCAAAGGGTAGGCACAACTCCATTGGTTTCTTGATAGCAGATGATAAGTCAACTTCGTATGATGGATTGAAGGCATTGGTAATGGAAGAGCTTAAGGCTTATTTCCGGCCAGAGTTGCTGAACAGGATCGATGAAGTAGTTGTTTTCCGTCCCTTAGAGAGGACACAGGTTTGTTTCCTCAATGATTGTTTGTCAGTACCAGTTCTTTTCTCATCAATAATTTGAAGGCCTTATCCTCGGAACTTGTATTTCCACAGCCCATTTTCTCTGAGTTTGCACCACCATTACTCAGTTTACACACACAATATACATACATATAAAATTTTGCTCAGTTTGCACCACTTAATCCTCATAATACTCTCATCTTCAACATTCAAACCCTAACCCTAACTCATCAACCACAACCCACTGCCGCCTCCTCCCCTTCCCTCCCTGTCAAGTATTGCAGTAATGTATTTTGTCAATTACGAACTTTAAACTTTTCTGTCGGGAAAAATATGAGCTCATAGCGAACAATTAGAACTTGAGTTTTGTGTATGAATCTTAGATCACCAAGGACCATATAAACTTCTTTTCAATTAACCAAGGATGTTTTTTGCTTTTTCATTCTTTTCAGATGCTCGAAATATTAAATTTGATGCTGCTAGAGGTGAGAGGAAGGCTTGTGTCTCTAGGAATCGGTCTAGAAGTGTCTCAAGCAATACTAGAGCTCATGTGTCAACAAGGTTTTGACCGTAGCTATGGTGCGCGGCCTCTTAGGAGAGCGGTTACCCTAATAATTGAAGATCTGTTGAGCGAAGCATTTCTTTCTGGAGATTACAAGCCCGGTGACACTGCCATCATTGATTTGGATGATTCGGGAAACCCAGTTGTTGCTAATCGGTCAAGTCAGAATATTTACTCGTCTGATACAACATTTTCCTGATAGGTAATCACAATCAATTCTTGATGTAATTTTATTGTGTATATTCCTAGTAGATTTTATATGTGTATTTGTGTAGACCATACAAACTCAATTCATGCCAATTCATGTATATGTATAGATAAGAGGAGGGAAAAGAACAACATTCAAAATTATTCTTTGGACCATTGAAGAACATTTTGGTTCATAAAATCATACTAACAGCTATTCCTTTTCATTGGTGACAAATTGCAATTCCTCTTGCTGAGAAGCTGTTTATATTTTGCGAGGTCCTCAAAAGAAGTGTGAATTATGCTAAAAACCTTCGAACTTTATATCTTTTTCAATTAAGCCCCTAAATTGAATTTTGTTCAATTTAGTCCTTAACTTGGGGTTGTTTGGTGTATTCTAAATAAGTACATTTTTTGCTTTTTGGACTAAAAAGTTGAGAAAAAAAAATATGGTTGTTTGGGTTAATTTTTTAACTTTTTACGAAAAAAATGTGTATTAAAAAATTATATAAATTAGTGTGTAGGAGAAGATAAGGACATTAGGTAGTAGGCCATACCGTCAGAGTGAATTGATGATAAGAAATGGTTGCCTATTTTTTGGGCATTGCATTGGACAGTGTTGTTCGGTCCATGGGGGCCATCATGGGTCCCGTTTTGATAATTTGAACCGTTCAATGCGTAGAATTCGTCGAGTACTATATGTTTGTAAAAAATTACGTTGATTGGATATCGATAGCTTTCTGATCGAATTATTTTTTTTTTCAACCATTAACTATAATACTATCCATTTTTTTATACAAAACTGATTTAATCATGTAGTTAGCGATATTTAATCAACGAGATTTTTTACAAACATATGTTTAGTTTGGTTTTGTAGAGTGATTTTAGGAAAAAAATTTTAAACAACTTGTTTGGTTTGTAATTTTTCCAAAACAATTTTCAAAATTACTCTCTCTTACACATCTATCAATCACTTTTTCTTTTTCTTTTCTCATTCTCAATCACTTTTCTTCTCACACACATCTACTCAATTACAATAAAATATCAAATCATTTCAAATTCTAAAACTACTTTCAAAATACACAACCAAACAAACCAAAAAAATTTCTAAATTCTCTTCCCAAACAATTTTTAAAAGAGTGATGCTACGTAGCTTGAAACCCCTCTCCCCGAATCTCCCAAACCAAAAACGACGCCTTTTTTTTTTTTTTTTTTTTTTTGCAGATTAGAACCAGGAAGAAGAAGGAGGAAGAGGGAGGAGGAGGAGGAAGGACTGGAGGGGGAGGAGGAGGAGGGACTGGAGGGGGCATAATATTCGGGGGAGGCGGAGGCGGGGAGGAGGAGGAGGAGGAGGAGGCGGAGGCGAAGACAGCGGTCGGAGCTGGGGCTGCTGCTGCTGCTGCGACGAGCTGGCGGTGAGGCGACGACGGCGGGCGGGAGGCTCGCAGCCCTCTTCTTCCTTCTTCTCTCTTTCTCTCTCTCCCTCTTCCCCCTGCGTTTCAGTTTCAGACTGAAAATGAAGGAAAAAAAAGAAAAAAAAAAACGTAATGTCCAAAACGACGTCATTTCGTTTTCGGCATTAGGGGGATTCAGGGAGAAGGGGGGAAGTCTCGAGCTACCAAACATTATTCTTTTTAAAAACTACTCTTTCAAAACCAAACTAAACATACTCATATTACTCTATGAGTTTTACATATTGAACGGTTCAAATTATCAAAATGAAACCTGTGATGGACCCTTACGGGTCGAATAACACTGTGTTATTTATACACCCCGCCTATGTAATTTTTCCAAATCATTTCAGCAACTTAGCAACAGTCTGTGAAAAATGCTATAGGTCTCAAATTTTTCACCAAATAAATAACCAAATGTCTCATATGAATGTAAGATTTACAAAATTACAAACCGAACACTCATGCGAGACATTTAGTCATTTATTTGATAGAAAATTTAATAAGATTTGATTATTTATTTAGTAAAAAATTTAATTTTCCTAACAATACTCACGAATTTTTTATACTATGGAAAAATGGTTTTTCAGTTAATTTTATCAATTTATCAGGATTAAAAAAATTGTAATGGCAAGTTTGAATTTGAATGAAAATGAAATGTAGGGACATTAAGTTTTAACTTGCACTAAAATTAAAATCCTGATGTGGTAGAAAAGATAGAACTGTTGTAAATTCCAACTATCCATATAGCCTAGGTCATACAATTCATTAATTCTTGGGAACAAAACTAAACAGTTTCTGCTAGCTGGTTCATCCAACTGGCACATCTGACATATATCTCAACCATGACCTGTTGAGGCCAAACTACAGTATATCTCCCTTGTACTCTGCAAGACAACTAGTAAATTCCACAGAAGCTGAAGCACAATGTTCACCAAGATGTGTACAACCTCCACACACATCATCTTTGCAATTATATACACCGTGCTCCATTACTCTGTTGGAGCAATGCATCACTATACATTTCTAAATCTAAATTGCTATAGATAAAGCCATTCACACTATCACAGCAGATGATAAAGGCACGATCAGTACTTAATAACTAAAAACAGTGACAACATTAGGCCAGCATAAAACCTGATAAGGTTGAACTGATCTTGATCCTACAAGTATTTCAAAAATTACTACAATTTTTTTGCTCAATCCACTTCACCTTTTCCAGCACAATTTCATCATCTTATAGTCTTTACTGTAGAAAATTGAAATTCGCTTCCCATCAATTCCATTTGTTTAAATGTCAAAACACATTGCTTGATTAAACTGATACACGCGAACAATGGCTTCAATACATGGATTACTTAATCGCTGACCATTTAGTCACGAGAGAATCTCTAAGCTTACAGTAACAGTAGAAGGTAAATCACCAGCACATGATCAATCTTACCATCAGCAATAACAAAGAAGTTGCTCAGCAATATTAGACATCCACCTATTCCTGAAAGTTTGGAGGCAAAATTATGCACAAAAAAAAATCAAGGGGGGCATAGAGTAAAAGAATCCATTTTCAAGATGAAACTAATCAAAAGAATGATACACAAATTTGGGGGAAATAGTTGAAAATACGAGCAAAATATTGATTTTATATTGTTGAGCGAAAATGGTCAGCATCAGAGCTACCGTGCATGTGAAAGTCCAACACCAGCCAACATGCAAAGAATGATTTCCAAAGCAATATGTTCACAAGCAATGCAGGATGTCACACAAATATAAACACCTAGCACTACCAATGGACAATAACAGCACTCAGTACCATGCATGAAGTACTAAATATTGTGGAAGATGCATGTGACCAAGAAACTTATTATGGCAAAGGCGAAATTTCCCTTCAGAAAACTCTATTCATATAGAGAACTTATACCAAAAACACCACAAGAATGATGTCTCAATGTCATTTTTGTAAATAAAAATCATCTTCATGGGCATTTTGTATTAAAATAAAAAGTCCACATTGGGTGTTTTGTTTTAAAATCATCTTCTATATAAATATTCTATTTGTATATCATTACTCTTCCCTTTTTCAAGTCATATTAAGTGGCAACTGGTGAAATCTACTTGCACCAAATGTGAGTGCTTGGCTAGTCACTGCTTTCATCAGATATGAAATGCAGTCAATATTTTCATAATTGCCTAACTAGCAGGACCCCAATTGAATATTTTACTATCAGTTCAACAATTTTCCTGAGCATTCTAGCTAGCCATAAAAGCAATTGTAATTATACCTTCCTCAAATGAATACTTCACTGAGTTTAATTATCCAAGCTTATTGACCGTAGTCTTTTTACAATGCCACCAGAATACCAGGTACCAATAAAACACTTGGGAAGAATGACTATTGGTTACAATTATCATGTAAAATGCTATTAATACCTGTTCCATGTCTGCAGATTCATTATTCTTCTGTTCAGGCTCAGCATCACTTGGCCCATCATTAGCTTCATTTTCCTCATCTGTGACCATTTTGTCCTCTTTGGTTGCTTCAGTGTTGGTCGTGGCATCATTATCACCGATTTTAAGATCTGCAGGAAGCTGGCCTGACTTTAGTGCCTGCTCAGCTCATCACAATTCAAGCCAACATAAAAACCATCAGAATATCAACAATTTCAAAAGCCACCTCATGGGCTAGGGGAGAAAGCAATGAAAAATGGAAATCATTTGGCATCTGGGGGTTCACCTTTTCAAGCCTTGCTACCTCTTCAAGAGTTTGGGAATTGACAATAGCAGCCTGCAATTCCATTGTTAATATATTAAAACAGTAAGTTGCTACTTGTATAAACATAGCAAAATGAAGGCTGTATGAAGCAAGAAGAGGATCAAAATAAATATTGCTTCGGAACCAAGTCTTGTGAAAGATAGAGCCAAGTCTTAGCAAAGACGGGCCAAAGTTGTAGTAGATAGGACAGCAAAACTCAATTCATTAATCACAGAAAACTGAGGGAAATTTGCATATTAGAATTGTCAACTACTTAAATGTGGCCAATGAAAATCTTCTACCGTTCCAGTTTAGGGTTCTGCATATTCATTAAAAATATGGAATCGATGGACTAAAGGGACAAGAAGAAATAAAGAAAAAAGATACAATGTGGATGATACCTTGATAGCTATAATTTGCTCTGGCGTTGGAGCTACTGGTTTAGGTGCTTGCTCTTCCTTTGGAACCTCTGGGGTACTTGGAGCCTCACCCGGTACAAATGTCTTTGCAGATTCATTTTTAGCTTCTTCTTCAGCTTCTTCCGATGAAAATAGATTTTTTGCCTCAATTCGCTCCTACATAGGAAAAAAAAAAACATAATTTCAAGTTTAGGCCCAACATGAACCTGGCCTGTATCCACACCCCACCCGTAGTATGATGGAAGAAAAGGTGTTGTTATACTAATGTCAGAGGTTAGCAATGTTGATTGCATAAAGGAAGGTGGTTGTGGGGGGTTGGCTATTATTACAATATCACAAATCAGATTTAAGTGTTTACAGAAATTAGTAAGGACATTATGATAGTGAAAGTGACCATAGCACCTTGATTCAAGCCTATATTAAAGGGATGTCACCATTGTAGTCAAGTTTGGACTTCTCCCTTATCCCTCACAAATGTGGTTCACTTGTGAAAGGCTTTAATTTAATATATAGGCCTAGACCTAATTGGAGATAAGTTCAATCCATAAATCACAAAACCTAGTATTGTCCTTTACGAAATTTTTATTATATAAAAAATAGAAAAAGAGAAAGGTCAAATCTGAATGCATAATTATGGATACAAAGCTCTGTAAAAATGGGGAGTTGTCACCTTCTTATGCCACCTAAAAAATTTAAAGCAACAAGGTAGATTCTAGTTACATTTCACTGCTTCAAGATGAACTATTTTTCTTTATAAATAAATTGGATTTCAAATATACCTTCCACAAAAGTACTCATCAATTTGTTTATCATTAACAGTGTTAAATTTTTACCTTCATTATCTAGATCAACAATGGTTGTATAAAACAACGATTTCATGTGTGTTATGTACACAGTAAAACCAGACATAGAAGCACCACCAAACTTCCTGATTCAATCCAACTTCTCACCCACTCTCACTCAGTGGTCCTAACAAACCAACTTCCCAACCACACTCAAACCAACAAATCTTCCCCGTTCGCACACCCAAACCAGCTGCACCTGCTTCCACTTTTTCATCTCCCCCCTTTTCCCCCCCCCCCCCCCCCCGGCTCTAAGGTAAGGCTCCAACACTTCAACCCAATGTTTTTTGAAAAGGCTGAAGGATAACAATCTCTTATTTACAAAATTCAAGATTAGGAACATTGATACAGTTGAAAGTCAATCACGTCACATAACAAACAGAGGCTTGGTTTCAAAAAATTAAGCCCTACCATGCCTAAGAAAGTTTATAAAAACAAACACATGAATGACAACAACATTCTGACCTTATGTTTCACTTTCTTGAAGTCCAGCAAGCGCAGTGATTTCAGCTTGTGGATGACATATAAGCGGTAATTTGGCTTCTTTGTGATATTATTATCAAGAAGACTAAGGAACTGCAGCTTAGGGAGTGATGCAAGAGGATCAATCTCAACCAAGTTGGTTAGTCGATTGTTAGTGAGAACCAAAGTATGCAACTTGGGCAAGAACTCTGCAAATCCACAAAACAAAACATATCAAGCTAAACCCATTAAGAAAATAAGATTAAAAAAAAATTTCAAATAAAGCAGCGGCCTGACCTCCGATGTTCGGATTGATACGGGTAATTCTATTGTTGTTAACTAACAAAGTTCCAAGTCGACTAAGGTAAGGAAAATTTTCGAGCTTAACTATCTCATTGTCAGACAAATCAATGGTGTCAAATTGATCCTGTATACAAACAGCCCAGAAATTAAATAAGACCATACAACCGATTTAAAAACAAAAAATAAACTTTAGGAAGTTGAAGCATAAAATGATATTATTATGTAGTTAAGAATAGCCTTTCTACTTTGGTTCTGGTGTCATTTTGGTTCATGTAATTTCAATTAGCTCGATTTTAACCCTGCATTTATGACTTTGTTTCAATTTAGTCCAATTGATTACAACTGTTAACTTTTTTTTAAATGAAAAATCTGCACCTCTGTGGCAAGTGTCATGTTTTTAGGGACAAAATTATAAACTTACTCAACTCAGTGACAAGTTTTCGTCAAAAACTCTAATGGTATTATCAATTAGATCAAATTGACACAAAATTTAAAATTAAGGTCAAAATTGAGCCAATTGAAAGTGTAATGTAAGGACCAAAATGACAACAAAGACTACCCATATAATTTACACTTTCAATTATTAGGGGATGCTTGAGAAGTGCTAGATTAGTATACGTTTTGACTTTTTACAAAAAAAAATGTGAAATGTGGGTTGGGGTTGAAGTGATGTGGTATAGAGGTTATATGACCCAAATAAAAGGTGATGTGAACTAAATAAGATGATTGTGACCCAAACAAAATAATGTGCTAAAATAGCATGACAAACAACACCTAAGTCTCCAGAAACTAAACTCACCTCAGTCCCACCCAAGTTTTCTATAACAGCAATCTTATTCCCTGCATATAGAAATCATACAAAGAGACATAAACAAAATCATGTAAATAAATAAAAACAATATTGGAGAAGAAAAAACAAGGAAAATCGCTTTTCAATTAGAACAACTCAAAAAAAAATTGCAACTTTCATGAAGCTACAAGTGGATCTGTGCACGAAAATGAAATTATTTTGAGTTATTCCTTTGAAACGCAATTTTCACAAAGACACAGACAGTAATCGACACAGAGCTAGCTTTGGCTATAGATACTTGTTAATAGAAAGTGTTAACAAAATTAGGGTTTCGAGAACACAAATACATCACAGATTCGTAAATATACATAAACATATATACTGACCTCGAAGATCTAATTCGCGTTCTCGAATGGCATTGAAGAAATGAGGGCTTTTCCAAATCAAGTCCGCCGTCAGTCTCACCATCTTCTTCTTCTTCTTCTTCGATCGCTGTAAAACCCTAATGCGGGTTTTGAGCCGACCCTCGGCGCTCTAGCAAGTCTAATGGGTGAAAATTACACTCACCTCCCTCAATATTTAGAGAAAATACACTCACCTCCCTTAATATTTAGTCTCTTTTCAATTCATATAACATTTAGATTTTTTTTTTAATTTATTAATAGCTTATTAATTGAAAAAATAATATTATTATATATTTTTAATTAAAATATATATTTATCTTTGTGTAGACACCTCATTTTTGACCGACCTTAAGACTCAGACGTCACCAATTGAGTGCTTGGTGATGTTGCATATCGCGCTCGTTCAGAAGTCTCAGAGTCGCGGTCGTGAGCCCTGTCTCTGACTCCCGAACCTTCTTTTGTACCTTGCCTCAGTTCGCAAACCAGACTCGATTTTCTCAGTTTCTTTTCCTGAGGGGAGGGAGAGGTCCCGTAGACCATCTCTCAGTGGCCGTGGGCTACATTTCGTGGTCGTAGGCCATTTTGCCCGTTTCGGAGCCCGGTTCCCGGTTTTCGGAGCCGTCAGGCCGTGTGCCTCGGTTCGGGACCGCCTAACCACTTCCATTTGCTCCGGTTTTTGGCATGCGTATTATTTGCTCCCTTTTGAGGGACACTGTGGTCCGAGAGACCAACTTCGTGGTCGGACACCACTTCCGGTGCCTAACAGCCCACTTTCGGGGCCCCGAACTGCGTGTTTTGGCTCCCGAACCTTCATTTTGCATTTTTGGGCTCCGACCCGAACTTGAGATAGTCATATTTTGAGGTCCTTTTCATGTTTGATTAAGGACCTCTTGCTGTTTGAGGCCTCCTCCTCCCCCTTTGTGTTTAAACTCTCTTTTAGGCCTATTTTTACATGATATTTTAGGCTTATTTGTGAGCTATTTTGGACTTGTTAATAAAATGTGAAATGTCTTGTTTTGATCCCCTCTTCAACTTTGTTGAAGGGCTCTCCTCTCTTCATTACAGCTCGTTGCTTTGCATGATCATAAGTTACGTCCGGCTTTGTGCATATCATTTCGCATCTTGCCCCTTGCCTGCGGGCACGCCTGTGGGCGCATCTATGTTTATCTCACCTGTTTGTCTAAGTCTTCGGCCTTGTCAAAAATAGGGTTGTCTCTAGGCTTTGACATTCACTCCCGTCACTTATGACTTCCGAGTTCTGTCAAAGAGGGACAACTATAGATACCCCATTTTTGACCGACCTTAAGACTCAGACGTCACAGATTGAGCGCTCGGTGTTTTTGCATATTGTGCTCGTTCAGAAGTTTCAGAGTCTCGGTTGCGAGCCTTACCACCGGACTTCCGGACTCTTTCGTGCCTTGTCTCGGTTTGCGAACCAGGCTCTATTTTCTCTATTTTCTCTTCTCGAAGGGAGAGAGAGGTCTCGTAGATCATCTCTCAGTAGCCGTAGGATACGTTTCGTGGTCGTAGGCCATTTTTCCCATTTGGAGCCCGGTTTCTGATTTTTCAGAGCCGACTTGGGGAGGTCCTTCGTGGCACCCCCGTTCGCCCGATCAAAGATCGGCCTCTACTAACCATGATATCTATTTTTTGAAAACATTGTGTGTTCTTATTCCGTTATTAGCCTAGATTACTATGTGATACGCACAGCATACAAGTATAGACTGGATCGCCTGAATTGGAACAAAACATTCATGTTTGTTTGTTTGAAAATGGTTTGATGGTGCTACTCGCAAGTAGGCTAAGACGTGGATTTGCCACCCTCAGGTGGGCTTAGAAAACATGATTTTTGCCACTATCTAGTGGGCTTAAAACACACATTTGATGATTTGTCCAATCCAAATAACCCAACCTTCACCCACAGCATTCAGCAGTTATATTCACATAAGCAAATAGCCTCATGGTAAGCATGCTATTCATGGCAGTCACTCACACGCATGCAAGGATGCTAAAGCATAAACTTACCGAGTACTCCAAGCCAAAACAGAAACTATGTTAGAAATCATGCATGGTCCTAAACATACAGAAATGCCTAATGCAACACATGCAAAATGCAACTATAGTAGGCTTGGCTATTCTAAACATGGCATATGGAATGCTACAGCTAACATGTATTCAACTTGGAATTGAAAATACAATGCAGTTAGTATGATGCGCCGAGTCCGGTGCATGCAATACAGATAAATGAATGCAAACATGCTGTCATACTGTATGCCTAATTGAAACATGCCCTAATCTAACCATCATAAGCGGATAAATGAAAAGGGGGTTGGAAGACATACATCACACTCACGCACACTTATTACAGTTTTGCCCTCGCTCGGAGGGTCCAAATAAATTTACAGTCCCGAATAAAAGAATAGTACAGTCCAAATAATGTACAAATTCCTAATTAATTAACGAATTAACTAAAAAAATAAATAAACTGGCATGCAAGCCAGGGACTGCCTTGACTCTTCTCCGGGTGATGAATGATGCATGTGCGGGTTGCCTTTGCGCGAAAATCCATACGGATGCCCCGATTAGCGCTCGTTTGCACTTTTTCTTGAAATGCGCGCCAAACTCGAAAAGTGCTGATTCTTGATTTTTGCTGCAACAGAGAGCAGGAAAGGGCATAGCAATGTATTTCACAAATATATGCATGCCTCGATCCTCGTGCCACCAATCACGCATATCGATGCATGATGGCCGAGAGCCGAATTGCGAATTCAATGTAGAATGAATGCACATGAAAAAACAACAAAACCTATCTCCATCATGGATGATCCGGAGTGTCGGTGACGGGGAATTGAGACGCGTTCCGTCACTCGGAGTACGAACGCACCTCGTTTCCGCGCCCGGGCTAACTCCTATTCCGAACACAATGCAATATGCATGACATTGCATGAATGCAACTAAGATACAGCCTAGCATGAACAATGCTATGAAAATGAGATGCCTCGAAATGCGTGCACACGGCACGCAAACCGAGGAATACATGAATGCATCTAAATACAACCTAGTATGCACAATGCTATGAAAATGAGATGCCAAGTGCGTCACACGGGCAACACAAACTGAGGAAATGCATGAATGCGAATCTAAGATACAACCTAGTATGCACTATGCTTGTGAAAATGAGATGCATCGAAATGCGTGCCACACGGGTACGCAAATCGAGAAAATGACATACGCAATGCAAATGAATGGAAATATGATATGGGCTTACACTAACATGAAGAGCCTCAGCCACACTCACTATAAGAGCCGATGATGAAAATGAAGTGCCTCGAAATTCGTGCACACGGCACGCAAACCGAGGCAATGCATACGCAATCAATATGGGCTAAAATGCAATAGGAATGCAAATGGACTTACACTAACATGAGAGAGCCTCGCCACACTCACATAAGGGCCATGGATGAAAATGAAAGTGCCTCAAATGCGTGCACACGGGCACGCAAACCGAGCAATGCATGTGCATGCAATATGGCTAAAATGGCATATAGAATGCAACATGGACTTACACTAACATGAGAGAGCCTCAGCCACACTCACATAAGAGGCCGAGGATGAAAAGAAGTGCCTCGAAATGCGTGCACACGGCACGCTAAACGAGGCAATGGGGCATATGCAATGCTAATAGCCATGGAGAACATGATATGCAAACATGCTAATGGAATTTTAGCACAGAAATTGTGGGAGGAAAAACAGCCCCGAAATGAGGCTTAGAAGTACATCCGAGTGCATGGGAGAATCTTCTCCGAAACTTGCAAAATTAGCACATAAATGAATAGCAAGCTAAGACAAGCGAATTAGCATTAATGGTACATGAATTGAAAAGACAAAGCAAAGGCAGCCCCAAAGATAAGCATTTTACAGTTCCAAAGACCAGGAAACAGCAAACCATAAATAGGCAAACTGCATGCAAAAATGGCCCCTAAAATATGAACCAAAGAGGCAGACTCACAGTCCTGCTGGACAACCCAAACAGGTAGCACTTCTACCAATCATTGAATCGAGGGGCCAAAAATAAGATTTTCTAACTGTAAAATATATACTCTCATATATATATCATAACATAGTATCGCTATAGACTCTTATGCAAGGAATTGGGAACCGAGAGAGAGAAGTGACAAATCACGAGAAGCACAGTGGAATGCTAAAGCCCAACAAAAAAAATCTTACCTATCAATCTAACTGAGAATGGGCAAAAATATGAACATATTACAGTAGATCAATGCCCCAAATCAATATAACCAACATCGCTCAATGAATGCAACGCAAAAATATAGCTCAACATAATCGGGTAATAACATGAAAGTATGAAAAATAAACGCCAAGGGACCTAATATAGACATGACAAGGGGTTCAACTATGCACCTTCTAGTTCTGAAATCATGGCCGAAATAATCAGAAGCACAGATTAAGACTAAAAAACATGCATAAAATGAGGACCAATAGAGGATAAGTGGTAAAGTGGATACCTGAGGTTCCCAAACAAATAGCCCTTCTTCAATTCGATTGAAGAAGGTGCATCAAAATAGCCTACACGAGTATACAGTTTACATCATGCTCTATATAATTATATCCACATATCGAAATAGACAAAAGGCATGCAAAATAATCGGCAATATAAGGTTAATGTAAAAGTGCCCAAAAAATAAACTATCAAACTGTAATCAAGCCCTTTAATGAACAATGAGAATATAGCTCAAAAAAATGGCATTGTTATAGTTTGTTGGTCAGAGCTCAAAACAGCAAGCAAGATAGGCTAAAAAAATGAGGCAAAAAAATGAGCTAGAAGAGGGAGGAAGAGGTGCTCACGCCTTGCAAGAACCCAACCTTTGCTGCCTCCTAGGACGAATTGATGCCTCTCAGCTGCTGGAAAGCCACTCCCTATCTCTGAATGGAACGTAGTGTGGGGTGCTATGGTGTGTCAACGAAATTGGGTTAAGGAACTTAAGGGTTTTTGAAGCTAGAATTATACGAGAGAGAAGAATGTACAAGTCATAGGAGCTCCAA